GGTGTTCGTAAGTGCTACTCTGCTAGTCCACCCAGCAGACCTGCATAGCCCATATGTATGCGTGTGTCTGTGTGTTGTATGTGCATGCTGTTTGCCGTTTCTCTCCGCGGTATTTCTTGCAAGCCCATCCACTTCCACAAACCATCACAACCCGCAATCACCCTCCAAACCGTCCGCTTCTACCGAGTCGCTTCGGTCGAAGGTACGACAAACCGCCGCCCCGAGCAGCGAAGCAGCGCCAACCTGGCGGCTTGGGCCGCAAGGCACAAGGCACAATTACCGTTCTCATGTTGAGGTGCTCATCTGTTCTGACAGGACTCCTATCAGGATCGCCTTTGTGTTTTTGTGTCTTAGAGGTTTTACGACAAAGGAGCAGCAGGTGCAGTTGCAGCAAACGCACAGCTGTTACAAGGAGCATTGAGTAGGACGTGGACAGGGAAACAAGAGAAGAGAGACAAGAGAGAGCAGCAGGTATTAGTAGCATGAGGATTCGTTACGTTGGCAGCAGCGGCCGTGTTGTCCGACCTCCTCAGGCCTCCTGAGGGCCTAGGCATAACGCAATAGAGGTAAACAACTGCCCTTCCGCACTCCTACCCAAAAGCCTTCGGACCCTAACTCCAAAGAGCTGGCTGAAACTTACGATGCCAGCAGTTCTGATCTCCGCGTGGATTCGAGGGCTTCCGGCTCTTCGTCTTTGCGGCGAATCCCGAATTCCAGGCCGGCCGCACTACGAAGAGGCCCAAGCCAGCCCAAATGCAAGGAACACACTCTTCGCGGAGAAGAAGCAGCAGAGGCCTCGGCCCAGAGCCCATATGCAAACTGTACACTCCCCAATAAGCACAATGTACAGATACACTGAGTATGACTATTAACGTGCATGTCGCATACATGCACACGAAAAAACCTATGCAAAAAGCATGTAGAGGGCAGACATCATACCTGCAGACGTTCATGCATGTATGCATACATTCACACAAGCAGGCATCTTACGCACGTACCAGGTACATACTATGCTTTGCTGGTTATCAACATCTCGTACAGCAGTCTATTGAAAAGCTCCACACTTGTAGTTCTGAGAGTCCACTACATGCCTATATGCTCTCCGTGGCCTTCGCATCATTGCCGGTGTTACAGAAACTGTCACCTCAAGGGAAACTCGGCAACCTTTGTTTTATTGCTTTTTCATGAGAACACGATGATGATAAAGGCAGCATTTTTGCACTCGTCATCTTGAAGGTGTACAGTGTTCTAAATTCTCATGGTACGACTGCTATGATACAACAATAATGACAAAAGCAGCAGGTGTCACATTCAATATGGGTGGTTGTCGAATTTATGGTCCCTTTTTGGGTCCTTATTATTATTATACGCACCTATTCTCTAGGGTACCCAAAAAGGGACCGTAATTTTGACAACCACCCATATTCAACTTCTCTTACTGGGTCCGCTGGCGCCAGCACCGTGCTACCGAATAGGACAAGGGCAACGAGGCTGTGCTTGACAAGCCGGACCTTGGCAAGGCAGAATCGACTTCATGAAGTCTCGTATTGGAGAAGCATTCTCTCCCAAGGGGCTCTTGGGCACCTAGCAATGTCGTAGCATCAGTAGACCTCGGAGTCCTTCTCTAGCCGGGTTGCAGATTGAAACGCTTCAAGGCCCCGGCCCCCAGCCAAGCCATCTTTCGCCACGGAAGGCGAAGCGCGCCAGCGCGCCCAGCCGCCTGCTTTTGCCCTCACCCAGACAAGCCTGCCCTCGAAATCCTAGATCTCTGCCGTTGGCCTCCTAGCTCCAGCAGCCCATGCGCTCCGCAGGATTTCGGGTGTTGCCGGGTTTTGTTTCAGGGTATTTTCCTAGGTCAAAGCTGGGTAGAGCTTCGCCTTGAAGGGCGTTCAAGCCCAGGCTTGAGGTCCTGACTCAGGCGTGGGTTCAGCAGAAGCGAAACCTTGGCGATGGGAGTGATCTGGACCTTGCTAACAATTCGCAATTCATGTTGCGCAAAACCACCTGATGTGCTTGAAATGATGCTGCTGCACACTGCTGGCTGCCATGACACCTTTTGCCAAAAGCGTGCAGCTCGCCAGCTTGGCATTTCATAAGCCAGAAGAAAGCTGCATTGGCACGCAACTCCATTGCAGCTCAACTTTATGGATCTTGACATGGACTCTGCTCTTGGTGCCAGTCGCACCTTTTCTCGTGACTTGCTGGATTCCAGCGCATTGGGTGTTTCCTGCTTCCAGGCCGGAGGGCAGCGGCGGTAGCCAAGCCAGAACACCAGCCCTCCAGCCACACACGCCCCAGACTGCCACTGAGTCAAGCCCAAAGGGCCCATTTGGATAATCGACTGCGTGGCGAACCCGGTCAGAACGAGGGGAGGACAACCCGCGCCACGATCTCGAAGTAAGCAGCCATGCCGGCAACGTCTTCCAATGGCTGGAAAAAATTGTGGAAACTAGGGCCATCATCAGCAAGCACGCATGTTTGCCAAAAGGAGCCCATCAAAAACGACCACAAATAATCAAAAAGAACAATCCCAAAGCACAGGCTCACATGCCAGCAACAGCTAGGAGGGACATCGCAATTCGCCCCATTCGAAGTACACTTCCCGACTGGAGCCGCTCGAACATCAAAGCACCAAGCCCACAGAAGGGCTCCGAACACCAGCATGACGGCACACAGTGTCAGGAGAGACAAATTCAAAGTCGCCTCAAATAGCAGGCTGTTGGCGTTGAAAATGAATTATGCTCCCATGATGCAACTCTCACGCAGCCACAAACGAAGGAAATGTCGATCCAATCCGGGCCCAGTCCTGCAAGCAGCTCTTATGTTCCACGCCCGGACTGCACTCCATCTCGAAAAACGAGCAGAGCAGTCCCCACACAACTGACAAGCCGATGAAAAACAGCCGCAAATTCAAATATCTTGCGCCAAAACCTCATACATCGGCAGCACCAATTCCAACAATGGCCATCATTTGTAAAGCCGTGGTGACCCTGAAACGGGTATTCGCGTCGGCAAGAAAATGTCTCGAGCCATGGCTAACCCCACAAACTCGACCATTCTCCCATGCCCTGAAGAATCCGTGCAACGAACCATTCGACTTGCACAGCACAGACACAACAAAGGCTGGTCAAACAAAGCAACACAGTGCAAATTACAACGATTGGTCCGATTAAATTTGACAAACCTGCGCTTAGAAGCGCGACGACGGAATCCACAACCAGATTCATGCATACTAGCAGCAGCAGCGCTGCTTGCAGCAATAAGTATATACGTGACTCGTCGCACTCGCAGATGTAGCCGTCCTGGTCGTGGCAATTGTACTTTTTTTTGGCGTGGGCGGGCCTCGTAGACAGCGGCTGCTGCGCTCGGTCCCAGGAAGAACTACAAGAAGCTGCAAGAAACGAAAAAGAATAAACTACTACCTGTACAAAGTGAAACAACAAGCTGCGACATACAGACTTAGCCGGCAAAGTCGTTCAGCGTGAATTAAGTGCACACGGCCCCACGGTCCACTGGCCCTTGTTTGCGGCCCAGGACGGCCAACGTGTCAACGGCAAGCTGGAGCGGCCAGCCTAGCCGAGCCATGCATTCCGAGCGCTGATGCAAAAACGGCGGGCCACACTAACCCAACCGGAAGTCAGATCTCAGAATCATTCGCACACTGTGGACCAATGGCAAGAAGCCTCATGGCCGAATGGCCAGGGCATATCCATTCCCAGAAAGGCGCAAACCCATGGAATGGGGCATGAGCGTAAATAACCACTATGCACACGTTTTTCATTCATTCAGTTCGCAGCATCCGGTGAATGGACGCTTAGCGACCGCAACTCTGGAAACAGGCATCAGACTTTGATACCCGGCTTGGAGCTGTACTATGTACATTTCCGATAGTTACAGAAAACGTGTGGATACCCCGCCGCGTACGGCCAAGCAGATATCCAAAAGCTTAAAAGACTATTGCCTTCGTCACGAGTGACTAAGCAAGGCAGTAGCAGTGATCACTCAACAAACGTAAAGCTGTAGAAAAGTTCGGCGCATGCATACAGGAGAAAGATTGTCGGCACAATGAGAATGCAGACTAAAGTCAACTCGATCACTGTGCTATGATCCACTGTCGCTTCCCTGGCTGATTCATGAATCACGGCATAGGCCAAACAGATAGCAGTTGGATATGGCATGCTGCATGTCTGCACTGCTGCATAAACGAACTTCTCTGCCATCATCCGTAAGCATTGCCATCCATTTGGTATCGCCATTGGGAAGCTGCCGAAAGCCACTCAGAATGGAGCGGTAGTGACCTGCCCATGGGTGCATACCAGTATGCACCAGCACTGTAACAAGTCTGTATCGTTGCCATTGCACATGAAGGCCTTGGGCACGTTCAAAAATTGGCAGATCGATAGGCGCTCCAACCTCAAACGGAAATGGCATGAGATCTTTGCGAGCTGGTCGGCTGGGATCTTTCTGAGCCCATCGCTTAAGTTGAAAGAAGAGCATCCTAGGGGCCTGGCAAAAAGCATAAGGAAAAGGTGGTTGCAAATGCCAGTCGACGATGCTTGCCTGCAATCCTCGCGAATTCAGCTCCAGAGTGATTGGCTGCAGGGGATGGCCTGAATCAGCAACACAAACTGCCGGGCCAAATTGGTATCTGGATTGCCAAAGGCCTGCATAGGCTGATGGTCGAGCATATTCAAGCATAAAGCCCAAAAACTCCACAGCGTCCTGTTGGCGATCAAAGCGGGTGTGTAGAAAGGTCTGAAACCGCTGCAAGAGTGTGAGCCAGAAAGGTATATCTTGCAAACAAGCATTGCCAACCTGACGTAGGCGCTCCAGGGGATGGCGAAGTTGCCCATATGTATCAGCCTGTTCAAGTTGTCGCTCATGTATCATGCCATGCCAAAGGAACATGTTAATGGTAGCATTTGCATAACAGAGATTGTGAGGATTGCGAAGACGAAGTCTGAGCATGGGCCTCGAGCATCCCTGCTGCAAGCTCCACTCTAGGAGGTGGGTTCCTCCTGCTGTCCCGTCTGGTCCCCCTCTTTCGCGATCGGCACTGCTGGGTGCTTCGGTGGCATTTCGCGTGCCGGGCTGGGGCGATTCGACGGGGGCTTTCTGTAGCTCCGTCCGCGGCCCATGGGATGCTCCGTGGGCGGTGGGAATTGCTCGGCAAGCACCCGGGCTAGCGGCTGGCGTTCCATCCTGGCTGGGCGGACTCGGAATTTCAACAGTTGGCTGCTGGCGTTGAAGCATAGCGAGCACAGAGCGCGGTGGCAGAGTAGGGACTTTGGGTCCCGCATCCCGATCGTCACCAGGAACGTGACCGGGGACTGGTGCTGCTCCACAAGCCGTCGCGTTGCATGGAATCGAAGGAGGGCTCCCGGGGCTGTGATGGACGACTCCAGGGTAGCCAGAGCTGTCATCAGCTCCTTGTGATCCAGAGCCGGGGTTTGCGACTCTTCCAGCATCTGGCGTTCCTGGTTCCATCGTAGATATGGCCATTCCATGCCCTGCCCGGCATCCTTCTGGCGAAGAAGCTTTAGCTTGGCCAGTTGCTCCAAGTCCTCCGGCTGCTCGAGGTTGGTGGTGATTTGTTTCGTCCATTGGCGAAGCAGGCCCAGGAACAGAACAAGCCTGAGAGAGGAGTCCACCTCCCCTTTCTCCTTCTTCTCCTTCCAGAGGACCGCCATCTTGAACATGAGGCCCAGCATGTTCACCATGTTGGAGTCTGCCTCGGTCGTGGGCGGCTCGAAAGTAAAAAGAAAGTCGCGCTCTGTGCGAGCTTGTGAGAGCTCGTCTTCGTGCCGCAGGGCCATCCTCGCCAGGAGCCTCACATGCTCCTGAAGGGCTTCCACCATTTGGCGTAACTCCTTCACCTCGCTGTGGTGGTACCATTCGTCGTCCCACTCCTGCTGCTTCCAGCCCTGTCCTTGCCGACGCTGCAGCTGTTGGTCCTTCCATCCCCTGGGGTTTTGCCAGGAGCTTGCTGGTGGGCTGGGGTTGTTCTGCTTGTCGTCTGCCGGTCCCTTGGTGGGTGACTGCCCTTGGCCCTGCCCCTTCCCCGCTGGCTTGGAAAACTTTGTGGGTCGGATCTGTTGATCCTCCGTTCGTTTCCCCAGAGTTGGGGCTGCAGGCATGTCCACATCCTCCCGTGGATGGGGCTGCATTGTCGCCACAGCCTCGCCCAGGATGTCCCGCACTTCCTCCGCCGCTAACTGTCCCCTGGTCATAGGGTCCTGTGGTCCAAAGGTCTCCTCCTGGTGGGCCATTATAGGTTGGTTCAGACCTGAGCTGTCGCAGGGCACGCCAGTAGTGTAACATAAGGCAGAGCTGATGCAGGATACGACATCTGTGTCGCCCACGGGGTGTCGCTCCACAGGCTTTGCAGGGTCGAGCGTGTCCTTCTGCGAGGGTCAAACTGTGAGCCATAGCATCGTCCCAGTACAACATCAAGTCTGGATGTATAGCTCGCACATGTAAAATCATGGAGCTTGGTGCACGTGCTACCCATTGACCGCAAAGCACGCAATGATGCCGAAGAGTTTCTTTCATCGCACTGATGTTGAGAACGTCCTTCCACTGGTTAGTGGAAAGCAAGGCTTGCACTTCAGGTAGCTCAAAAGGAGCCAGGAGCGCGTTTTCTGTTGCACCTTCAGCAGTGAGCCCCGCAGCGAACTGCAAAGCAGGCTCGGGTTGGGGCCCCGCAGCGGACTGCAAAGCAGGCCTTTCACCCTTTGCGTCAGAATGCAACACAACACAGCTGGTAAGTATATGTACACGAAATTGATGCCAAGTAGAGAGCTTTGCGTTACAATGTCGACAAATAGGCATATTGTTGGTGCAATGGTCTTGTATACGAAGTCCATGCAATCTTTTGGCGGGTCCAGCTGAGACTACCTGAAGTCTCCATCCATGAGTCTTGGTGTGATGAGAGCGCATCCCTGGCAGCGTGTCAAAGTATTGTCCGCAAGTAGGGCAGGCAAAGGCTTGGGTAGCCGTGACTTCCTGAAGACCATGTCGCAGAGCTGCGAGGTGTTGCTTGAGTTCTTCTATTCGCTGTTGAAATTGTGCTACCGCCAGATCTTGGAGTTTGGTGAGGGTACGAGTTCGCTGTTTCAAGAGCTTCAGCAGGTAGTCTCCTGGTTGAATCAAGCCAAGTCGTTTGTACAGGGCCTCCGTAGGTTCCCGGGTGATATGCACCGGGCTACGAGAGATAGCTCGAACATGTTTGACCTCAAAGGTATGTAGTCTTCTCAGCCCAGCGGCGGTGAGGCCAACTGGCATGAGACCATATAAGGCCGCCGTTCGGACACACAGTGTGTAAAGCTGGAGGCGCTTGCGAACAGAAAGATATCTACGAGCATGTAGAATTTTAATGAGCCGGCCTCTGGTATTACGAGCCACATCCAGTCTGTAATTCAGGGTGATGTCCTCGAAACCACCATAGGAGATACTGACACCAAGGTAAGTCAGACTATCCTTGATAGGTATGATCAATTGCTGATGCGGGGGGCCAAGCACAAGCCGTCGGGCATCTGGAGGTCCATGTACATGGGGTGCAAGAGTAGATTTGCCTAGCAGGCCTTTGACACCCAGGATAATACCAGACTTTTGCGGATTCACCTGCATTCCAAATCGTTGATATACTGAAAAGATGACAGGTATGGCCTGCAGAGCTGAGCGAAGGTCTCCCAATGAATTCACTAGCCAGCTGGCATGTGTGTCATCAGCGTACAGCGTCAGATGTTGCGATACCCAGGTGTGGGACAATTCTTGACCTAGATGGTCAGCTACATAGGCTGAGTATACTACCCACAGCAAAGGAGCTAGTGTACATCCTTGGCGTACTCCACGTCGCATGTTAATGTGACTGTGACGTCCGCGATGATTGATGCTGTACTTACAGACTTCGTGCAGATCTATAATTGTTCGTGCCAAAGTCTCGCTGGCGCCTGCCCAAATCAGTGCCTGATATAGCCGTTCACGAGGTACTCGATCAAAAGCTGTTGAAAGATCGATCGCAAGTTGTATGCCGCCAATGGCCACTTTCTGTTTGATTTGGGCCCGACGTGTATGCACAGTGGCCTGCTGCCCTTCATGCATAGAGCGGACTTGTCTGCAGTGGGCCGTCACTCGCGAAATAGCAGTGTCTGTGCTTTTACCAGGTACATATGCAAACAGTGGCAAAGCGGCTATGGTGGAGCTGACTTCTCGTAAGAGTAATTGCTTCAGTACCTTAGCATAGGCCTTTGCACCAGTATCTTGTAGTCCTAGAGGTCGGAGGTTTTCGGGTCGTTTCCCCGATTTGTGTGGCTTGGGGATGAGTGCCAGAGTACAGTCGGCCCACAAAGACGGCGTCTCAGCCCCATTCAGACAGGTCTCGGCCTGAGGAGCAGCAATCGTGGAGATCATGTCCGAGCATGCACGTACCGCACTGGTAGGAGCGCTGCCCGGAGGTACTGCCTTGCCCATCTTGAGCGAGTCGAGGGCTTGCTGAAACATAAGCGGGCTGACCTCGTAGTGTGCCGAAGGTCGAGCTGCAGACAGTGTGCATCCAGACTGTCGAGACAGAAACAGAGTCTCAAAATGTTCAACAATGGCCTGCTGCTCCTGCTGATAGGTGAGCATCTCACCCTGTTTACCATGTATACGAACCTGGGCATGTCGGGTTTTGGGGGCCATTTGCCGAATAATGCGATGCAATAAGCCATGATCACCCCGCTCAACAGCAGTCTGGGCCTGTTCCAGGTAGTTCTCGAGGACGGCTTTGCGAGCTTCTCGGCCCCTTTTTCGAAGGGCCTTGTAGGCTTTTTGAAATTCCTGGTGTCGTCGCCATGCTTGAAAACAGGCTCGAAAGGAGCCTGGTGGGTGGTCAGCCGGCCTTTGCATTCGCCTCCTTGCTCGCCACATGTCCGCTACTGATGTTTGCACCTCCGACGTCTGCCAAGCCCGGAGCTGTGGTTGAGGAGGAGCTCGCGGAAAAAGCCTGCAAACCAAATCAAGCAGAATATCGTTAATTTGTTGAAGGTCAGAGGTTTGTGCCGCCGCAAGTTTGGACCTGAAAGCTTCTCGGAGGGCATCATATTGCGGAGTGCGATCTCGGACAGCAGCCGTGAGAGCCAAGTTATCATAGGATCTTTTGGGCTGAGTGGACGACCGTGGTGAGGCCCGCTGCCAGCCTGGATGTAGAGGGAGAGTGGCCTCAACTGGGTGATGCTTGCCCCCTTGACGCCACGGACTGAGTGTGAAGCCTCGTTGGGGTAGAGCACGTCGAGCCACTGCATCTGCATGTCCCTGTCGGGTGATGATAAAGTCAATGATGGACTGATGCCTAGGACCTGTAAAGGTAGGGAGCAGACGACGTCGAGACCATGTGTTGAGTACGACCAGCTGGTTAGCTTCCAGGATGGTGGTAAATTCTGCAGCATCCGAGTAGAGCTCAGCGCTGGACATTGAGCATCCGATGTGCCCCGCGACATAAATCGGGGTACAGTTGAAGTCGCCCAGCAGAACCAACATGTTTCGCCTGGCCAGCTGTTGTATAGTGGCATTTAGGCTGTCCCACAGACTGTGTCGTTTGGAGAGGTTGTGTCCCGCTGAGTCTGGCTGGTAAGCTTGTTGATAAAAGTTCACCACATCTATGTGATATTCGGGTCGTGCGAGACGTACATGTAGCAGACGGCCTGGTTTGATCTCCTTGTGGTGAATCTCCGCATCACCCTGGAAGTCCTGTCGAACCAGCGTGGCAAGGCCCTGAAATCTAGAGGAAGGATCGACACTGGTTATGAAGGTCCAACCTGCCGAGGACCAGTGTGAGGACTCTTTCCCCAGACCATGGTGGATTTCCTGCAGAGCTATGATATCATACGGTGCTTTAGGGAGCCAGGCCATAAGACAATCAAACGTTGTGGCGTCAAGACCACCAACATTCAGACTGAAAGTGCGAAGCCTGGAGCGCTGCCGCGTTGTCGGCGAGGACGCAGTTGTTGCAGAGGGCCTGTTGGGCTTTGGGTGTGGATCACTATGTTGGGGCGCACGAAGAGTTCGGCCTCGATAGACGGTTGTTCCATCCTGTGAGGAACGGGCTCGACGAAGCGCTCGGGCAAAAGCTCGTTTGCGAATTCGTTGCCTGCCTGAGCATGGCGCCGGAAAAGTAGTCGTGCAAGCGGTGCTCCCACCTAAAAGTTCACCCCGAAGGGCTCCAGAAACCGGGCGGGAATCAGAATCAACCCTCGCATCTGTGCCGGCACATGCTGCTGGTATCCATGCGATCAACAGCAAAAGTAGTAGTGGTGTGCGTAAACATCTAATGCTTCCGGCACCCTGGGACTTGGGACCCAGGCGGCACTGCTTTGTAGGAGACGTGGGCGTAGTAGGAGAGGCACCTGTACCAGAGCAAAATTGACATAGAGCTTCATCATTGATGTGGGGCTGCCAGCTTGCAGGTACTCTAAGAGTGCCACCGTACCGAATGTCCGAAAGGTGGTGGTAGAAGGCCTGGCAAATGTAGAAGATGCACTGCATGTACCGGTAGAGGGCAGATATGCAAATCAGCAGCGGCACCTGTTTTTCCCAGTTCCACCACGCATCCATGAAAAGCGAAGGCTTTGCACAGGAGGAAGTACATTCAGTCTTTGGTGGCTGGTTCAAACCCGAGACCATCAGCACTAGCAGGGGTGAGAGGGCTGAAACCATCTGAACTGCTATCTTCAGGGACTGTGGCTGTGGCTGCAGCAAGGTCGTCCTCCGGTCGAGAGGATGTATCGAAGGGGTTCTCATCGATCTCATCGTCCTCCGCCGGGCATTCAGACTCCGAGTTTTCATGATCCTCGCGAGGAGCTGGTAGAGTGTTGACGGCAGCATGCGCCCGTGTAGAGGCTGTCGTAGGTTTGGCTGGGCCCCTTTCCGCACGAAGCCGCCGGGCTTCTTCAGCCAGCTCTCGAATGGTGATCTCGTCGGAATCCATAGAGTCCGCGCCGCCTGGGGGTGAGTCATCCGCAAGGGTTGCAGCATCATCAGCAGCATAGTGGACTGGCACCGGAGGAGGCGGACCACTAGGCGGTGCATCAGGCGGAGAAGGTTCCGGCTGCAAGTACCGTGGTCTAAGCAGGGGCCGAGTCCTGGGACTTCTCGAGCGAGGTGGCTCAGAGTCACCATCATCCGGCCTTTTGGGCCCCGGCATTGGTAGCAGAGAAAGGTAATAATCCGCCAGAGTGGGGCTGCTGTCAAACAAGCTGTGCGAACAAGCGGCTGCAAGAAAAACTTGATTCGGCTGCAGAGCAAAGCTTCAAACAGAAAAGTGCATAGCAAACCGACAAGTCTCGCCAGGAGGGCCGGATCTGCATCAGGTGGTACTCGCAGGCTGCGAAGCATCAATCGTCGAGCCCCTTCTAAGGCTCGCAAGATATGCTCCAACCTCAGAGGAGCACCTGAACTAATCCATATTAGCAAGATCATCAATCTTTCCAATCTGTGCTGCGTACGCGCATTCAACCATGCAGTGGGCAAACTCTTCATTGAGAAAGTAGGTGTTGGAAATAAGCCGAACACGTTGGTTAGGTTGTAACAGTGTCCAACAATCCATCCAGATACTGAAAGGAGCTTCCCAAAGCCAGCTGCTTCCATACAGATTTTGCAAGGATTGCTTGGCTGAGGGCGGGAGCTCTCTCCACTTCTCACACAGCAGTTCCATAGCAAGGTCAGAAATGCATTTATGCAGCAGATCTTGGTGCCTCCACCAGGCCGTCTTCGAAATCTTGTTGTGCCCTCGCGGAGGGCACAAGTCCATAGCAGTAGCTGCAGCCATGGGGGCATGTGCCCAAGTCCCTGAACGAAGAACAAAGCCGAACCCCAAACACCAACCACACCGTCCGAGAAGCCAGCAATCCTACACCGGCCCTTGTCGCCGTCAGCTATCCTTTGGATGAGCCGAGATGCTTCACTATGCACACGAAGAAATGGTTTGCCAAGCGACCCATGTCGAATAACGCAAGTACGCCAGGCTACCACCCCCAGTGGGGTTTCCGCATGACTTCCATCTTTGTTCAAAATAAAGCGCAACTGGTCGTGGCAATTGTACTTGCAGTCGTGCGAAATAGTCGTAGCAGTAGTAGTAGTAGTAGTAGTAGTAGCAGCAGCAGCAGCAGCAGCAGTAGTATTGGTTGTAGTAGCAGTAGTAGCAATATTGCATTGCATTGCATCCGTTGCTCCGGTCTGTTGAAGCGATACGAGGAGACAAGGCCTCTTGCCTCGGCAGCTTGAAGCTGCAGCGCTTAGCGCTTCTCAGAGATCCTAACTCAATCCATCTTATGTAGATCAAATGCAAAAGCAAAGCAGCTGGATCTAGCATCCTCGGTGTTGCCATCATCTGCTTCCGTCTGTGCATCAACTGCGAAGGGCGACTTGCAGCAAAGGCCCATTCGTCGATGAGCCAGAGCTCTGTGCAAAATCCTGTGCACTCCCTCCAGAAGCAGACGTAATCATAGCTGTGCTCCTGACTGTCTGATCGTGCTGCTCGAGCCGATCGCGGTGGTCCTCATCCATGCCATGCGATCCTTCAGGACCATTGCCATTGCCATGTTGCTCCGCATTGGATGGCCCTTCATGCCGGCGGATGTTTTGCCCACGGCAGCGATGGCTATGGCGAGCGCCCCCTGAAACCGCACAGCGAGAGCAGCAAGTATCAAATCCATGATGGGCCACATTCGTGCAACCTGCCGTTCTGCAAGGTTGCACTGTGGCCGTCTCTACCACTCGACTCCGGACCAGGGAACGTTGCAGTCGCTGACAGCGTCGACTGTGCAGACTGTAGTTACCATTCCAGGTTGCCCGGCACATAGAGCAGCAGTGCTGATGCCTTGTCCCAGGAAACTGACGATCGCAGCCCATGGTCGCACATCGTTGTAGAAGCATGGTGGTGCTCGGCAATGTTGTAGTCGAAGTAGTAGTAGTAGTAGTTAAAAGAAACCGCAAAGCACAAAAGAAGCAAACCCGTCCTAAAGCAGAGTTCCAAGAGACTCGGCCCGAGGGCCCAAGCAGTCCCACCAGAAAGTGTAGCCTTCGGACTATGGGTCGGTGCAATGCAGTCAGCCCACCATACACGTCGTGACCTAGGCGGGCCAGGGGCAGCGGGCCAGGGGGCCAGTGGCTTTTGGCTTGCCGTCAGCAAGTGGCGCTCATAGGCAATGTGAGTCAGCGCTGATTTGTTTGGGCGTGCAAGGCTCCGCGCGCGCTGCTCGATATCACTTGCTAGCTCGCATGGGTTGCTATCTGTATCCTTTATTCCCAGGAGACAGCGAAAGGTAGGGAGCAGGACCTAAACCCCTAGGGAGGGGGGAGGTTGAACCCTAGGTTGAGCAGTTCCTCTCTATCTGCAACAGAAACATGCGCATGTTGCCCAATGGAAAAAGCAACCAATGTAAATCTGTTGCCGTTCGTCCAAGGCATCACAGCATGTGGCGTGATCGCGCGGTGAACATCAGTGCAAATCCATTTAGGCTGTACACATGTCCCGGCTAGTAGTAGCAGTAGTAGTCGTCGTAGTAGTAGTAGAAGCAGCGGTGGTAGTAGTATTAGTGGCAGTTGTAAAGTAGTAATAGCAATAGCAACAAGTCGTGATGGCAACAGTAGTTTCGGCAATAATACTAGTCATGATCATAGTCGTAGTCACAAGAAAAGTAGTAATGATAGCAACAGCAATAATCAAAGCAATACTCATCCTCGTCATGATGAGTATCATAGTCACATAGTGACATAAGCACATAATCATATAGTCATATAGTCTATAATCAAAAAGTCGTATCGTCATACATTCATATCGCCATATAGCCATATAGTCATATGACCATACAGTCACACAGTCATACAATCATAAAGTCACAAAATCTTAATATCTTGAGCATAAACGGCTGCCGACTTAGGACTTAGGGATCACGCTTAAGGGCTTGGTAGCTTGGCTTGCGACACTTCACACTCAAGAGTAAACAAGCAACGCACTCAACACTCCGGAAAGCTTCTGCCGTTTTTCACCAGCGGTGACAAGGGGTTCGGATACCTTGTGCAATGAGGCATTTAGCCTCAAACCTGCAACTACGGATCGCGGAACGGTCATCGCCTGGCGGAACAATCATCGCCTGCAAAAGAATGTGTAAACCGATATCAAGAATTCTCCCCGAGAACGCATTATGAGCGAAGCACTCGCGGTCGCGCTGACCGGATCGGCAGGGGTATGCAAAGAGATTAGATTCACGCATGCGGCACTCGGCTGCAGGCGGCGTCACTCGCCGCAAGGTCTGAGATGCAATTGGTGTGGGTGGGCGGGAAGAGAAAAATTTTCTGCAACCTTACATGTGCAAGATCTGTGGCTTGTCCAGTGAAGTTATAGCGCACAGTGTAATTGAAGCTTATGCACAACCGACTTCAAGATGCCTTGAGATGGCGAGCGCGGGCGACAAGAAGATGCAATATAGCACCACTTGGCGCTCACACTGACAGAAAACTTTTGGCAGCCATTTTCTTTAAAAATCCAAGCCCTATTTTTCAAGAAAATTCAAGCTCAAGATATTAAGGGACTATCAGCGCACGCACTGACGGCCTCCTTAATATCTTGAGCATAAACGGCTGCCGACTTAGGGATCACGCTTAAGGGCTTGATAGCTTGGCTTGCGACACTTCACACTCAAGAGTAAACAAGCAACGCACTCAACACTCCGGAAAGCTTCTGCCTTTTTTCACCAGCGGTGACAAGGGGTACCTTGTGCAATGAGGCATTTAGCCTCAAACCTGCAACTACGGATGGCGGAACGGTCATCGCCTGGCGGAACAATCATCGCCTGCAAAAGAATGTGTAAACCGATATCAAGAATTTTCCCCTTCTTATCCGTTGTATTACTTGACTAAGATGCCCAAGACTTCGGATGCGATGTTCTCGCACGGGAAGTGTGGGACGGGGCAACCTGACACGGTGAAGCTCTTCAGCACCTCACGCGAAGGCGTGTCTTTTTTTCATTCATTCAAGCGCATCAGCTGTGTCAGCTGTCTTGCGGGCGATTGTGACCTTGTCACCCCTCCTCCATTGAGGAGGGTTCGCCGGTGGAGACTCAACTGCGCCCCGTAGAGCCCGGCAGTTGATGTCTCTGCATTGGCAGGCCGCGGGTTACTTAAGCCTAATCCGTGTTTCAAGGTATCAAAGACCTTTGTGGTTGGCGTAACCACGGTGATCTTCTGTCCCGCCTGCACAGCAAATCGGTGGCCGCACACATTGTAGGCCAAGACAAGGAGGACACAAAACCATTCAACCACCAGGCCCTGGTGTACAACGGTGGATGCCCGATTGGGCAGCCGTATAAAGTAGACACCCGGCTGATGTGTGCCATCCGCCGCAATCCGCTGCACCCGCCTTGCGGGCATGTCCGCTGCCAGCTCCCCAATGGTGACCGGACACGGGGAGGAGCCTGTTGCAGGTAGCAGAAGATTGGACTGGGGGTATCGAATGGCCGTTATCAACAGATAAAGATCTGCCAATAACCGTGTAGAGGCGACCAGGGCCAGATTCAGACATACCCCATTGATGGGCTCTAGGCCTCAGCCTGCAAAGCAGTATGGGCCGGAGCAAGTATTGCTCCGACTGCCGACAGGCGATTAAGATAGCACAAGAGCGTCTCACTGTGAGACGTGGACTGGTGAATAAAGTCCACTGCGATGGCTGCGGGGGTGAGGCGGGCAGGTTGTGGACACACCTCATCGCCCACCCGCGTTACGCCAGAATAGGGAATAAAGTGGATCTGGCCCTGGTAACTCACACGGCATCCCTTGAGGTCACCCTGATCCTGTACCAGTCCCACCTCTACCGGGGCCTCTACCCCAAACAGGCATTCCGAAATAGACTGGCAAACCGTCAGACAGGTGCCTATTGGGGGTTCCGTTCCCCGACGGCCGCAAGAACGATGTCCAAGGCTTGACCATTGGACAGTGTGTAGCGGCCCGCCAGGCGAGGTGGAATGCACAAGGCCACGAAGCGCGTGGGCCATGCGCCCCGGAGGGTATGGTTGAGGGGCAAGCTGAGCGAGTCCCCGTATACCAACGGGCTTCGCAGTGAGGCGCGCCAGAGTATTGAGCTGCACATCTCCTTTGCCTCCGCCCGTGGGCTGCCGTGGATCGCCGGCGCGAATGACAAGCTGGCAT